GTGAACCTCAGCCTCCATGACCCTGAGACCAGAACCAAATGGTGCCTAACTACCACTGGCAACTACTCAGAAAGGGATCAGAATAGGAGATCCTGGATAGGCTGGGAGAAAAATGTGGAATAAATCTCAAAATAATAAAATGACTAGGCTTACTGGTCTGATAGATTGGCAAGACTATGGCCCTTATTCACCCTTCAGGCTTGGAACTGAATTCTCTCAAGTGGCTCAACTTTCAGCCAATAATAGACAGGTCCATGAGGTGAACAATAACAACAGGGAAGTACATACTCCTTAGAAGAATAACCTTAAGAGATCAAAGGGGCAGAATATGCACAGGGACAGGGATAAAGCTCAGACAGCAGGAATGCATAGGAAAGGAGGACAAAGGGAAATAAATGGCAACCACAGGGAGGAAATGGGAAGAGTGCTGTTACATTGTGGGGATTTCAATCAATGTCATGAAACAGAACGTGTATGAACTGTTGAATGGAAAACAAATTTATTTTATAAATCTTCACTCAAATTACCATAAAAAGTTTAAAAAATATAGAAAAAGACCAGGCTTACTGGTCTGATAAAGACTGGTGGAATCCCTGAAACTACAGCTCTTAGACATCTTTCAAGCTGGGAATGGACCTTAACCCCTATGACTGAACTGTCAGCAAAACAACAGACAGGTCTTTAAGGTGACAGTAATATCAGGAAAGTGTGCACTTATTAGAACAACCAAGTATTATGAAAAAATGCAAATAAAAGATTAAAAAGAAAAGAATCACCAATTACAATAGCATCAAAAATAAAATAATTAAGAATAAACCTAACCAAGGATGTGAAGGATGTATGCAATGAAAATTATAAAACACTGCTGAAGGAGATTAAAGAAGACTTGAATGAATGGAAAGATATTCTGTGTTCTGTGGTTGTAAGACTTAATATTGTTAAGATGTGAATACTACTCAAAGCAATGCATAGATTCAATGCAATCCCAAACAACATTCCAACAGACTTCTTTACAGAAATGGAAAAACCAATCCTCAACTTTAAGCAAAATGGCAAGTTGTTGTTGTTATGTGCACTTGAGTCATATCTGATTCATACTGACCTTATGTACAACAGAACAAAACACTGCCTGGTCCTGTGCCAGCCTCATTATCCATCCTATACCTGAGCCCATCACTACAGCCACCATGTAAATCCATCTTGTTGAGGGCCTTCCCCTCTTTTGTTGACCCTCCACTTTACCAAGCATGATATCCTTCTCCAGAGAAGGGTCCCTTCTGACAACATGAGCAAAGTAGGTGAGACGAAGTCTGGCCATGTTCATTTCCAAGGAGCATTCTGGCTGCACTTCTTCCAGGACAAATTTGTTAGTTCTTTTAGCAGTCCATGGTTCTTTCAGCATCTTCGCCAACACCACAACTCAAAAGCATCAACTCTTCTTCAGTCTTCCTTATTCATTGTCCAGCTCCCATATGCATATGAGATGATTGAAAATACCATGGCTGAGTTAGGGCCACTGTGGTAGTTATGTTTGTGTGTCAATGTGGCTGGGCCTGGTTGAGTGGCTGGGCAGCTGGTGGTAGATATTCCCCATGATGAGGCTGGCAATCAACTCCATAGTGGAATCTACCATAAGCTGCTGAGTAGCTGCTTTGGGTATGTGGTCTGCTTCCCATATATAAGAAGCAGCTTTGGGAATGGTCTCTAGCTTATGGCATTCTTGAACCCTGCATGTAGCTGTGTTGTTGTTCAGCAGTCTACCATGCTCTGCCAACCTTAGGACTTACAATGGACTTGGATTAATGGCCTGCTGTGTGGTTTGGTAACATCTGGACTGTGCCTTTTTACTTGTCAACCTTGGACTTGGCAGCCTCAGCAGCCAACAGCAGTC